AAATCCCTATTTTAACATTAAAAATAATTATAAAAATTAAATAAATTCAGAAAAATCACATTTTTCTCATCTGATGCTTTAATTAACCCATAAGTGAGGTAATATAAAATTTTCAAGTCATTTGAATTTAATTTAATGAATTATAGGGTGTTAAGACCTTAGGGGCAGAAGGGTGATTTTGGAATTTAAGGATTAATTAATATTTAGGCTTAACTAAAGGGCTAAATGGGCAACAAGGGATCTTAATTGATATGTTTTGATGATTGGAATATATAAGGGGTAAGTGGTAGAAACCAATTCCATTTTGGTGTTATAAAGGATAAATTTGTAATTTATTAAAATTAATGAAATTTGGAAGAGTATTTAAGTAAGGAGATATTAAGGTGAGAGGTTTGATTTTGGAAGATCACAACTCACTGATTTTAAGCCCAACTAATGGTTTTGAGGTGATTTATAATTCATGATAATGATTAAGAATATAAACATTAAAAAATCATTTTTCTTAAAATTGTAAATCTACCTATTAAATCTTAAGGGCTTAGTAGTGAACTAGACTTAACTTATAATTAATTTGAAATCTGTCTAAAAAGGTTTAGAAAATAACTTATAATTAATTTGAAACCTTTCAAAACATTACAAGCTCATTCTAAAATCAAATTAATTAATTAAGTCAAGTTGCCCCTAGGGGTCTTTACCTATATAACTCATAAGTGAGATATCAAGTGATGATTACCCCACTTAAGGGATAATCAAAACATTAAAATTCACTAAGCATAAGGGTATTTGTTGGATGAACTACATAAGAAACACAATAAAACCAAAACAAACTAAAGACAATTCCAGAAACTATGAAATGTCTAGGGTATTACTCGAGACTTCTTCATGATCCTTTGGAAATCTTGAAAGACAATTGGACTTATTATGATTTGCTTAATAGAATCTTCCTCAAATTTTGGAATCACTAAAATATGACATAGGATCTGGTAGACACACCTCAAACTGTACTCTCTACTTTTACTACAAGCATGCTTTAATTTCTGCAAAAAATATATATGTCTTGCAAAGATACTAAAGTTTCTGGTGGAGGAACGAGAAGACTCGTCAGACACGCTTTTACAATTTACAGTACGTTTTTTCCTGTATTTTATACACTGTACTTTTATGCTTACGAACTTGCATTCTAAATAACGATGTCACCATGTATGAAACCCAAAACTGTTAGAATAGCCACAAAACTGAAATCAAAACCAAAATTAAAATCAATCAAGATAAAATTCATCGCCACAATATTCAAAATATAAAACAACTCAAAATTTAATCACAAACTTCACAAAAAAAATTGCAACTAAATTAAAGCATCTCTTTCAGATGATCGGGAATCCCTCGGAGGATGTAACCTACGGTTGCTAACAAAATTTCCCACGGTCTAAATGAAAGTATGAAAATCATTAAGTTGAGTTTAGTAAATTCATTTGGACTAAGTGAATCCGATAGAAAATAGTGGTGTCGGAACGAGAGAACTATAGGATCCTAACCGGTGTCGCTCTAACCAACTTTAATATGCCCCATAATATTTAAAGAACCATAACCATAGGGACATCTGATTTGACATCATAACCTGACACATTAGATAATTTAAACTTGCTACAACGAGGAGCTTGGAGCTAGCATTACAGACAGCACAGTCATCTTTAACAACAAAACATATCTTCACTAGCTAAACCAATCTTTAGAATTAAATAAAAAATTCATATGATTTCGAGGTTGTTTGCTTATGCAACATAAATCTTCAATTTATCTTTAGACCTTTGTATAGCTCTGCTATACAATTTAAGTCCTAACCTGCTTTAGGATTCCGAGGTTGTCGTCGGTCACGACCTAAATCCACATATCTTCCAAGCTATTTGTGTGATAGTTTCACGTGAATATAAGCCCTAATTAATAAAATTGACAGAATGAAACATTCAATAATTTTAATCTCCAAAATTGAAGCCAAACCATAGGATAGCTTGGGAGTCACCGAGGTTCTCCTCCAGATTTATTACATCTCCTAGTTCTTCCTCATTTGGATTCCAAAATAAAATATTCTAGATTTGAATCATTCTCCTTTCACACCTCTTTGTCGATCTCATTGAAAAGTCCTAATCCTTTGACCTCTTTGAAGATAATATCCTCTGATTTCTATCGAGAGTTTTCTTAGGTGACTTCGATTATCTAAGATGTAATTAACTATAAGGGTTTGTCCTTATAGGAAACATTCCCGAACCAAGCTTAATATAAATTTTATTTAATTCTTCGTATTAAATATGAGAATTTATCGGATAAAAAAACTTGTCTGCATAACATAAAATAGTTTTGCAGACTTAAACAGATGTCATATAATCTTTAGTTTATTTAATCGAGCATTCACTAGTAAGAAATGTATCTATCCCTTGGGATATGTGCACTACTTGCGTTATTAAGTTTGTTTATTTAAACTACTGGGGCTATGAGATCGGTTCGGTCTTATATTTTTAAAAATTTTAAATACTAATTTCCATCATAACAGCCGACAACTTCACAACTCCTCAACTTTTTAGTGCCGACAGTGACACTCTGTCACAACGCGTTGTCGCAACACACCGACGCAACACATAGTCGTGACGCACAACGCATCATCACACGACTACGTATAGCCACGATGCACCATCGCAACACATCGCGTTGTTGCAACTCCCCGCCGTGACGCTCCTTCACAACACTCCGCCGCAACGCATTGGATAGTCAACCCCTTTGGATGGTCGCAATGCCCTGCTGCAACGCCTCGCCGCATCGTGTAGCGCTGTCGCATTGTGTAGCGCTGCGGCGTCGCACCGAAGCAATGCGCCGCCGCCACACACCGCGACAACACGCTGCCACGTCGCGCCGCCGCTAGGGGTATAAACGAACCGAACACAAACGAACAGAGCTTGTGTTCGTGTTCGGTTCGTTTGAAATTTAGTTTGTTTGAAATAAGCTCGTGTTTGAAATTTTTTGTGAAGTCATTATTCGTGTTCATTTTTTAACGAATAAGCTGAACATGAGCTGTTCGCGAATGACGAGCCCGTTTGACATCCCCAATATTAAATTAATATATTATATTAATTATATAACTTATATTATATAAATATATAATATCTATATTAGTATATTACTAATGTAGTATATTAATATATTATTATTATTAATTTATTATATATTATAATTTATAAAATTTAATTTTTTAAAATATCATAAATTTTTTATATATAATTATTTTAAATTATTTTATATTTGGAACACTAACGATTTGAACACGAACGAACGCATCACTGTTTGTGTTTGGTTCGTTTAACTAGCCGAATGAAAAATTTTTGTTTACGCTCGTCTCGTTTACTTATCGAACGAATTGAACACGAATACATTGACAAGCCGAACAAGAACTGTTCATGAACAACAAGCTTTTTTTACAGTCCTAAGTATGATCATCTTTTATCATTTTGACTTGAGTTGTTCTAATAGAGTTTGATTTTGCCTAAACCATCTAAATGACCAAAATGCCTCTCAAAAGAGGCATTGAATCCTTCTAAATGAGGGCAAAAAGGTCCTTTCATGACCCCGATGGCTTACAACGTCAAAAACAGCGTCGAAACTGAGTAAAAACGATGTCAAAATGGCAAAAAATCAAGCCTGGAACCAGAGTGGCGCCTAGAGGAAGGGATTGAATGCCATGGCGCTCGCCTATAGCACCTAGGCGGTAAGTTTTCAGGAAACATGCTTGTTTTGGTCTGTTTTGGACGCCTTAGCGCCCGATTATTATTATATAAGAAAGAAATTGCATTAAAATATTATGAAGAAGAAAAAAAAGAAAGAAGATGAGGGCTTATGATGCTCGAGCAGTTGAGGAAGGAGGAGGAAGAGGATTTAGCTAAGTACCTTTGGTCAGGACAAAGAAAAGTGCGAGAGGGGGAGAAAGAGATAGTTACTACGACCGTTGACTGCAAAAATAAGAGCAAGTGTGACAAGGCAACATCCAAACACATCTAAAATCTTAAACAACGAGACATTCGTTGGTGTTGGTGTAATAGTTAGAGTTTCCATATGAAGTTCAAAGTTAACTGTGTGCGCGTTGGAGCACTTTTGAGATGGATGACTACTTTGGAAGTTACACCATTAAGGCAAAATCATGAGAACATTAGACAAAAAAAGAAAATTATCTCAATGGGTGAGAGTTGAAGCTAGTATAAATGTATTAAAGCAATACACCAATTTAAAGATGGAAACTAAGTGTCATACAAAACAAATTATTATACCATGGAAGCCATCCCTTGAACCTAAAAATGGGATAAATTGTTACATGATGTGAGCCGCCTCTTGAATCTATAGGGACCACCCCTAGAAATATGTATGTGTCCGGCTGATAATTTTGAGTTTAAAGAACTTACAAAGACATTAGTTATCTAGGTGAGAGAGATTGTGAAACCTCTTAAATAGAAAAAGCTAAAGTCAAACATTAAGACAAATGTTGTTGTAATGGTTGGAGTTTCTACAAAAAACTCTAAAGTTAAAAGTCCTCACATATAGTACTCCTTGAATGGGTGATATGGTGGGAAGGTATTCCAATGGGACAAACTTGTGAGACCATCAGACCAAAGTGGACAATATCATCGATGAATGGGAATTTGGGATGGTGCATTATAGCCGCACATGGGCGAGCTAATAAACTATTGTTTAGCTTTAAATAAATAAAAAAGCTTAAACTTTTTAATTATATAATTATATTTGACTTGTTCACTCATGAAGATCAACAATAATTATTATGAACATGAAGTCATTTGAAAGCCTTATACAAACATTATGATATTTAAACCCAATTGTATTAAGGAAAAAATTTTAAAATCCATAATTTAATAAATTAATTAAATAAACCAGCATCTAAAAAGATCAAGAGAAAAGAAAAATGACACCGATGCAAGATCAGAAATAAAGAGGAAGTGCAAGACCTCGGAGATGAGGCCCTTGGCAGCACGTGCTTGCCGGCAGCAGGATCATCGAAGGCGACGAAGTTTTGAGGACCTGCAGCAAAGCAATAGACAAGATCTCAATCACCATTTGCAGAGTGGGAGGAGTACTGGTGCCCAGACAAGGTGGTTTGGAAATGTCCTCAAGATGAGCGTTCGCCACCGGCCGAATGCCTGCCGGAATCGTCGCTTAGCCAGTTAGTTCTGACCGACGGGCATTCGCCCCCACCGCTGCCGCCGACATCTCACATTGTGAAACGGCGACAATAGGCATCGATTTTTCTAATTTTTTTAAAATGTATAGGGTTTATCAATTTTTAAAATTTAGCCATACATTAATTGCATCTGAAAAGAGAATGCATACATTACCACAATTAAGAGTGCGTCGGGTCGGCCAGGCTGGCGCAAGTACCAGTGGCAGTGTGCGGTGTTAGGGCAATTGTCCACGAGTGCGCGGGAGGAGGACGATTGGGGGGCCGGTGGTCGCCTGCTTATTGGGTCTTCTTCCGCTGTAGGTGGGGCGGGAGGGACCACAGAGCAGCCGCGTGGCCGCGGCCATCCCCTGTCGGCGCCTCTCTCAGGGATCATGGATGGACAAAATACATGCAGCCAAATTAGGGATCGTCACCACCGCCACCTCCCGCTTTAATAATTTCAACAGCGCGTGTTCATCATGATTTACTCCATTCACTTTCTGGAGCGCGCGCAGGACTTTGAATGAATGCTCAGCCATCTTGCCAGCTACATTTCCGAATTAAGAACTGGACCTGCTACAGCCATGGTAATAGTGCCTTTGTTCTTCTTCTGCGCCTTATTATCAGACAAAATGGACCTTATTATAAGTAGAGAAAGTCGGTCGATCAGAGAATTTTCTCTGTTCGATGCGAGAGGTCAGTCCGTTCGGCATTTCATCGGCCAGCAATGGTGACCACTACAAAAATGAGCCTTTTTCGACGGCTCCAAAATCGACACAAATTATGTATGCCATTCATAAATTTCCCATGGCTTGCTAATTATTTTATTGACGGAAATATCTATGACTTCTCAGTGCTCATAATTTACCGACGACACTAAATTATCATAGTAGACTTTAACTAGGTATCATTGGTATGCCGTCAGCCATGTCCAACAGCCCGCCGTAGAAAGGGTAGCATTACCTTTAGAAAAGTGTACCGCAACCGACGGAAAAATATAGCAGAGCCGTTAGTACATGTTGGTAATGTTGGAGCGGCTATCACAAAAATTGTATTGTGTTGTTCAATTGGAAGCCGTCGAAAATGATCATCATAGATTATGATATCGATTTACCTTCTCTACTATAACCGAAGGGTACAGTTCATAAAAAATTACCATCAATACCCCGTCAAAAGTCCGAGAAAAATTAAAACTTCTTCAATACTTCAATTTCCACACGACACAGTGTACTAATCCTAGCAGTTATTAATCTAATATCACAATATGTTGGATTGGATTATCTTTATGAGATGATGGTCTTTCATTCGTAAAGTTGATTCGAGTATGTCCTCATATTCTTAATGTGTGGTATATTCTCAACATCATCATAGATGTTGATACTACTCTTCTTGGGGAAACAATTTATTTCTTTGCTCGTCACATAAGAAAAAAATAATCTAAATTTATTTGGTGGAAAATATATAAAATCATACTTGAAATAACAAGACATTAATAAATGATTATTAAAAAATTAGTGGTGATTAAATAGTAGTTATCTTTTAAATGAACCACTAAAACAACACTCAATTGGACCCTTCGTAGAGGAGGAAATTAAACACCATGAGAAAATATATGAATTCACCATGAGAAAATATATGAATTCAAAAAAAAAAAAATGAAATTTTTAATCGAAAGAGTTTGTTAAGATTTTTTATAATTATGCTTCACTGTTTTCCTCTAATTATAGGCAAAAGTAAACTCAACGCCAAAATTAAGTTGCGTTAAATAAAAAATTTGGCCGCCATGACGGTAGCAGAACAAAATAAAAGCCATAAGAGACCTCATGAGAATCAAGTAGCTCGTCATTTCCCTTCTAAGGGAACTACGCATGATTATCTCTCAGTAGAGAAAAGGTGCTGTACGATAGGCTAGTATTGTGAAAATGTCCTATAAGCATAGTGTTTATCAAAAACCTCTAGATGCTGGAATGGGAGAAATTACTTATTTTTATTTCTTAATTTTGTCTTGCTATAAGCTCAAAGATTTTTCTCCAAGGATTAGTTTAGCGTGTACTTCAGACAATTCCAGCTCAAATAACTTGTTAACAAAAGCAAAAAAGCCAAAATCAAAATTAACTTCCAAAATTAGACAGCGGTCAAGATGTCTATGGAGTGGAAGGCCTGTCGATGGATGGACTGACTACTTGTGGCATAATATATATGATATATTTATATATATAATCCACGCAGCACAACAGGTCATCATATCCAAAGTGCTTTAATTAATTTGTTGGTTGCGTGCGAGGAAGATAATTTGTTCTTCGTCGCTCTTTACCTAATGCCTTATTTGTTAATGTTTTTGATTGAGAAGAGTACATGCCAACACAACCTAATATTTTACAGGAAATTCACTCATCTCTTTCCACCAAATCCGTTGATTAGGATAGCCCATCGACTGCGACCTCTCCTTGCGGCTGAATTCAGAGGATATATATACAACTTTTTTTTTTTATTTCTTTTGTTGATTAGCAAGCAAGTTGAAAGGGACAGCATATCACATTATGCTTTTCCTTTACCCTACCTTTGTTTTGTTTTTAACAACATATGAACTGCTTTTACTCAGCTTAATTTGCCTCTTCTAAGAATGCTGCCTTTGTTGTCCCTCAGTCAATGTTAGGTGAAATACTTGAATTTCTTCACTGAAGTAGTCATGTTCGTCACAATACGGCGCCAACAAAAGTCCGACTCATTTCCTTATCTAATACAGTACCTTCTCAATCATATATTTTTGCAACTTTTTTTATTTTATTCATCCAAATGAACATATATTGCATGCATTTTTTGCATTATCGCCATCATATCCGTACGCAATATATACATATATATATTCACAGTTGCACTAATAAAAAATAAAGCATCAACAGTAAGTTAATCTTTCTAAATGTATTGAAAGAGCAATCATTGAATATACAAGAATGTTTTGCTATGTAATACTTGACTATATTAAGATAAATTTTTAGTTATTATTGTGTTACTGATTTCTAGTATAAAGTTCATTTTAATGCTTTCGGGCAGCTTCTAATATGTGGCATTTAAAAAAATATTGCGTGAGGAAGCCCAAACGTCCAGACAACGACATGGATGCGGCCATGTTCTTATGCGTTCACACTCAGCCATTTGGGGCATTATTTGGACGTGTAGAGGCCACACACAATAATTTCTCGTGACTTTCAACATTTCGCTGCTTTAGGGCATGTACGTTGATGTTGGTACCATAAAAACTTTTGGGCAACATCAAAATGGTACAATTATTCCAACTTGGTATGTTAACGAGAAATTTATGTGATTCTCATGAGTCACATTGCATTTTAGGTTAGAAATATTCTATATTCAATTTTAGAATCATCCAATTTATAATTTTAACAAAGTTATGATTAAACTGAGCATCTCGATAATAAGCGTCTAATGACCATTGAAAGTGATTTAATCGAGAGTTCAAATGAAAGCAAAATAAACAATTGAAACAAAAATTATATGTCTTGGAGCATTAAGTGCAAAGCTAAACAATATCTAAATTTGACATGTTTAATTCTAGGTAGAATAAGTAGCTCGATGATATAAATCTAACTAGCCTATGATCACTCATGTCGCTAAGACACTTAAATATTTAAAGAATAGCCTACAATAGAAGGAATCAATATGGACCATTTGATGAGGCATTTTAAAATTTTTGATTAATTTACTGAAGTTTCATTTTCAAAAACTATAAATAGACTCTCATTCCTCATATGAAAGAGGGGGATAAGAGGATACCTAGTTGACAACTATAGCATAACTCATGAAAAGAAGTGTGGATGAACGATAATTAATAATTATCAATCATCGCAACCAATTATTGCAGCCAACTTTTGTTGTTGAAACCGCCAATTATAGTTATTTTATCATCAATTTTTGCTTTTATAGAGCCAACTTCAAATTTTGTAGCCATAAACTACACACTACGGGAATTTAGCTCATTTAGTTGTTGTCGTTTTCAAATAACATTATAACCGAAGTGGAAAGTTATCGGATATCATCGAACACTCGTTTCTTTATGATCTGGGAAACATGACTTCATTAATTTCCAATGACTTTTGTTCGTTGGTTTTTATATAGAGTTGAACTAATGATATAAACTGTCATTAACTCTAAACAGACCGTCGAGAAAATTTCTGAGCATAAGCGATGACTTGTGCAGTAGTTATGCCATTGGAAATTAACTGCATGATGTTTCGTTGCTAAGCCACCATTGACACAATAGCTTTAATGCACATAAAATTTTATCCTTAAATTAGCATACACATACAAAAATTTAGGTCACAAATTTAGATCAATAGATAAGTCATCCGAATGTTGAATTTAGGTCACAAATTTTAATTGAGTAAAGCAAAAATCCAAGGAGCATTTAATAGTTAGTGATAAGTCATCCGAATGATGAAGGTGTAGTTGAATTTGCTCTTACTATTTATGCAAAATATGGTATACATATTTTAATGAATATAACGAACTTTTATTATAAGCATCTATTCATCAAATCATTTCTACATTTCAAGTTCTATCCCTTTTTATACAAATAAAATAATATTGGGATTTACAAAGATGGCATACAAATTTTTATCTATTTATATAGACAACCCTAAACTTAACATTTACTTGTATAACATTTGGAAAATTAACGTTTTATCATGAATATCATTAATGTTAATTTTTAATGTGAAATATCTTTTATAACTATTTTTTGAAGTGATTGCAAAATTAAAATATTACATAAATAAATATCAAAATTTTGGTGCCCAGCATATAAATACATATAATTTGTGCAACATAGACGAAAATCCTCAAGTGTTGAACCTAATGGATGTAGAGAATAAAATAATAAAATCTAAAAATAGAGCAGTAAATAAATAAAAATATATATTACCCTCAATTGAGAATTATATATATATATATATATATATATATATATA